TTCTTTTGCATGTTTAGTTCCCTCGGCATTATTGATAAGCGTATCTCGGTCAATGGTAAATGGATAATTCGATTTTGATTTGAAGGTTTTAGTTCATTGTTTGAAGTAATGAAGTCGTTGAATTAACATCTTGATTAATATCAAGACATAAACTCTTGTTATTTGTTGGATCTGGTCTTTTTTTTTTTGAGTGAAGGATGTGAAAATGTGATATATTTTATAGAAAAATAGACTGTTTTTCATTAAATTTCTCGTTTCATTTATACGTTTGGCTTTTTGTAAATCAATGAGGTTTCGTGGTGATATAAAGTTCATATGTTATGTGAGAATAATTTAAGGGTAAATCAAAAAGATCATATGAAAAATATAACTGTTTTTAGTAACATTTCAATTAAAAAGAGAAGGTCCGCTAATCAATGAAATCTAATCAAAATAAAGAATCAAGTTTTTCGAATAGACCTTTTTATGAACAATACTAAGGAGAAAAACCCCCCAAAAAAATAATAAAATTCGCATAGAAGCATGATCAGAATGATAAATGCCCCTTTTAATGTTTCTTATTTATCCAAATTTATTGAAACTCATTCATTATAAAATTCTAAAACGAACACTAGAACTTATGTACCCATTGATTACAATCATAAAAATCTTATTTTCTCAATGGTTAACCATTTTAATCAAACTTTATTTTTTTCCCATGATTTGTTCATCTTGTGTTTAACTTTTAATGTGCTATACCTATTTGGGGGTGGCTAAAGCCGGGCCGGGTTCGTTCATAGTCTCGGTGACAAATAAAAACTGACAAATAAGAAATCACATACCGAAAAAAATTGTCCCCAGAATACTTAATAAAAATGAAAAGCAGAGGTGTGACATGGCGTGACAAATATTTTGCAATCGGTAGATCGGGAGTCGACTGGTTGACTATATATATAAAACAAATTGAAATCGAGAATTGTAATTATTAAAATGAAAAAAAAAAAAAAAAAAAAAATTTAATTCCTTAAATTTGTAAGGAAAAAAAAGACACCAACGACGCTCAAATGGATAAAGTTTATTGAAGAATTTACACATAAATTTCAGCGAAATTATTCAGCTTATGGAAAATGGAAATTCATCATAACCTAGACCCCCGTGAAAAAGTAATTATCAACGAGCTCACTTAGCTTTGATTCGTGCAATTCACGTTATAAATATATATATATATTGACTACATTTCTTTTTCAAAATGAACAACGAAGAACCACTTATTAACGTTCTTGAGAGAGAAGAACCACGTGTTAGTAGAAGCTTTCCAAGGGTGAGTAATTTAAATAATTATATATTTAATATCAGTTTTTAATTTTTTTTTTTTTTTTATATAATTACAGCACGTTCGGCATTTTCTCCGTCGTAATGAACGAAATGTTAGAAATCGAACAATATTATAGTTGATGAGCTGCATCAAAGGTTCAAAATAAAGGGACTCCGTCGGAATGTATGTTCTATGACAGATTCTCTTATTTTTACTGATTAACCTTTATTGAAATTTTTTTTTTTTTTTTTTTTTGTTGCAAGTCTACTACTAGATACAAAACATACAGAGTCGATATATCAAATAGGCCAAAATGCTCCTGCCAAGACTTCGTAACGTTTAGATCATGCGAGCATATGGTACGTATATTTTAAGAAACGCATAAATGAGTTGTATCTTTTGAAATTAACTAATACTTTAACATATGTTAATTTAAGATATATGTATATTTAAAAGTGTTGCGAAACGACAGATTTATATATAGACATGCTCTTACGGACGAAGAGCTATGTTCACTTTTTAGAAATTAAAGTAAGTAAACGTGTGATTTATGTTTTTAAATTATTAAATGATTTTTCTGCGCCAAAAATGTTAATTCTATTTATAATGCTTGTCCCCTATTCACCCTATATAATTTTACGTTCTCAGACTTTTGTTACAATACAAATTTACAAAAGGTTTTTTTTTTTGAACTCGGATGTTTCGAATATTTATAAAAGTCAATTCAACTTTAGGCGCGTAGGAAAAAAATAATCCTTTTTTCTCACAAGAAAATGGGACACCTCGTGTTAATCCAACCAGAAGTGCTTATGATGATGCTGCTTCAATAAATTCATCACTTTCTAATCATGATTAAGCGGCAACAACAAATGATGCGTCGAATTCTCGGCGTCAATTACCATTTGGAAATTCACAAAATATAGGTGAAACAGAAGGACCAACGGACGCAACGTACACGAAAAGAGAAAGTAAATCGAGACTTACTTCAACTCCGCTAGTGGATAGGGAGACATACAATTTTGATGGTACGGGAGATGGTCAGAATCAGAATAACGGCAATATTTCCCAATACAATAATTTTCATCGTTATGATGATCATGAAGCAGCAGCAATCCGTCATAATACCCTTACATTATGAAAATGAATATCTGAAAGAGATTTCCCGGTGGTGGTAAAAATGCGCGTCAATCTTTGACTGCCAGTAACTTTGCTAGACCTGAGAAAAAACGAAAAAGTGATGTTGTTCTTGGTCAATTTGATCTTATTTACTATATTGATCTTAATTGGTTTGGGCATTACTGCATTTTTTTTGTTTGGCCTCGCAAACCTTATGTTGATTTAAAGAAACTGTACCCGTAACACTACCACGCTCAGTACAAATCCTCCTTACATTGATTTGAGCTTTAATATGATTATTAAAATTGATCTTGCAAATTGGGTTCCATATAAATTCAATAAAATTGATGTTGCGGTAAGTTGAGGTTATTTTTAACCATATTTTTGGGATGGGAATCATCATTAATTTTGTTTTTATTAACCATTTTTCTTTTCGAACTTTAGGTATTTGATAGAGCGGCAAACAACGATCTATTGCTACTGGTTCCAAACCAAAATGCTCCTCCTTCGAGACTTAGAGTTGACGTTGAATTATTTATCTGGGGTATTGATTGGATTTACAAACCAAAAAATTTCTGTTCCTATACCTGACATTAAATATCCTGAGCCTAATTTATATTTTTATATAATGTAAAAAAAAAAAAAGTGTTGGTTTAGTTATTAGATTTCTGTCTATATATACATATACATTTATTTTTATTTAATTTACTTTTGTAAAAACAACTTATATTATATTTTAGACTAATTAGTCTATTTACCTTTTGTGTCGCGTTAAATGGATTAGTTAGTAATTTGAAATATTTATGAGAGTATGAGTTATGTCACGCGCATATTTGTATATATGTTAATTACTACCCGACCAATAAATGAAATATTTTATATAAATATTATATCGTAAAAAAACTCAAAAATTAAATTTTTACCGGATTAGATTTGAGGTGAGGCGTAATTTAACGTTATCGTTAATTTCTTTTAAATTCAGACGGAAAATCAAATTCAGTTAAAAAATGATGTCCAAACATCGCCTTAAATGATCAGAATATGCCAAGAAAATGTAGATAATCTAGAACATCACGAATAAATTTCGGGGAATGGTTATTTATCAAATTAGCTCGTCAAATTTTATCACTAACCCCAAAATCGACTAAATTAATGCATTAAGATCGGCGTTTTACTAAAATTATTTACAAAAAAAACTGTTCAAAAAGTTTATATGCGTTACAAATCACATATTAATTATTTCGTTTTCGTGATATAATAGGAAAATTTATTACCATAAACGTATTTGATAAACTGCATTTATCTTAATTAGCAAAATGCACTTTTCATGAAATTTTTCGCTATTGTAAATTTACTAAAAGTATTTATTATAAACAAATAGTATAATCATACTTGAAAAACTATCAAAAATTAATTTAAGCAATTACAAATATTAATCCACCATTTCAAAACATCTTCAATATATTTCTTGTTCCTCTTGTCTAAAACCTTGTAAAAATTTGCTGCCAAACTGATGTCCTATATATAAACATAAAATTTAAATTGATTTCTGCCAAAATAATTCGCATATTCCACCTCCGATAATAAAAAGGAACAACAACTAATATTAATTTGCACCTCAAGGCTCTATCGCCGTCAAATCAGGGGCGCATTCTACCTAAACCCGATCAAATATTAATTTGCGCCTCAAGACTCCATCGTCTGAGCGCTTTTGCTTGGTCGAACAATTTGCCAAAGCATTGAACGGACTTTTGATAGGTTACAGTCTGTCGAGGCATGTTCTTGATGTTAGACCAAATTCTTATTACATAGGTTTGTAATTCTTTGAAAAAAAAAAAAATAATAAATTTGGTTAGATATAAAAATACCAAATATTTCCCGCAAGTAAATGAAGTTTGTTGTTTTTTGATTGTTATGAGTATTATCAAAGAAGAATAGTACTTTTACTTCAAAAGTCACAGAGAATTAGAGTCAAGAAGATAATTTCACCAGGAAATAAGTACTTTTATAGACACATAATATACCGTTTGGTATTAAACATTTAAATGAAAACTTACTTAATAGCAGACACTTATAACCATTCTCCATCGTTAGAGCCACGATATATTTATTTCGCTTAAACAATTGACACTTTGCACAAAGTTAAAAAAGAATTGAGTTGAAAGAAATTCAAAAAGAGTAAAAAAAAGATGAGGGTTTTAAGGCAGAATAATATTTAGAAAAAAGGTTTGGCAGAAGTGATTTAATAATATTGCGTGGAACACATAATGAACTTATATGGGATGATTGACAGAAATATTTTTAGATTTATATTTATATTCTATTAATTTTATAAATAAATCTTTAAATATTATATTTAAATTTTAGGATTGATTATTATTTTAAATAGAGTTAATTGATTAATTGATTGCAAACTTTTTTACAATTAATATTTTAAAATTAAATTTAAGTAAACATCCAATAAAAAAAAATAGGTTAATTAGTAAAATTTTAAATTAAAAACTTATTTATTAAAATTGTAAGCAAATTTGCTTGCAATTTTTATCATTAAAAAGGTAAAATCATATTCTATTATTAAACGATTTGATATTTTTAATTTTTTCATTATTTTAATATTTAAAAAGTAAAAATTAGAAAAGTAAATTATTTTATCAGAAAATATATAACTTATATTATAATAATATAATAATAATAATAAATTTATATTTATATTTAAAGAAAATTTTAATTTTATAAAAGTTTGTAATAATTTAATTTTTTTTATTTTATTATATGTTATATACTTTTTAATTCTTAATTTTTTTGTAATATTTATTATATTATAATATAACTTTAATTTTTATTAAATTAGAAAAAGATATAAATTTTTTAAAAAAAATAATTTTAAAAATTATAAAGTATATTAAAATATTAAAACTATATATAAAATCTAATAAAATAAAAAATTTTCTAAGTTTATATAAGTGTATGTATCTGAATCACATAATTAATATATTTGTCACTGATTCCATACCTTTTCATCTTTAGTTTTTATTATTTATTCTAGGAACTTATAATTTTTCAATGAAAAATTATTATTTGTTACATTCTATCTGTCACATGACTAATTTCTTAATTTTTTAAATAATATTAATGCTAATTATATTATATGACCTATATAATATATATATTGTCAACGGAGCAATTGACCAGTCATAATGAAGTCACGTGGATGACGCAGTATGACGATCTTTTAATCCAGAATT